CAGTTCCCAGATGTTTACAGAGTGCTGGTAAAAGAAGAGGGATGCTACAACCATGGTAAACATGGCCTTTGTCCAAATGTGAGATGTGTTGCTGCCATTATCTTCAAAATTAAATTCTTTTCTTAATTTTTTAGCGAAGGTGCGCAGTTTTCCACAAAATCTCTTAAACATTTTGATGTTTTCTATTGTGAATAAAATATTGGATTGCAAATTATTGCATTCTGTTTTTATGTAGATTTTACACAGTGTCCCCCAACTTTTTAAAAAATGGGGAAGTACATATGAAATAAATACATTAAAATGTTTTGGCAATACGGTCTTGCAAATGTTAGTGCAAATAAATAAGTATCAAGAACGGTACTCAATTGTTTGTTACATGTGCACTAATACGGCCAACAATCACTTGCAAAAATGATTTGAAATTTTTGTTTTCTATGCAATCTATAAACAAAAGGCGTAACAAGATGGAAAACAAATATGCCTTTTTCCTAGTTTGACCAACAGTAGCTTTAAGGGTTTCTGTAGACAAAAACAGCAATATTAATTTTACAATTTGACTCATTTATAAAACTAAATTCTATTTTTCTAGTACAAAGGCAGAGTTATGAAATGAAATCGGGTTTTTTTGTACTCACCATAAAATTCTTTTCTCTGAGTCCAAAGGTTATAAAGCATCCTACAGGACAAATGGACACCAGGCACATATAAACAGAAGGCCGGCCCACTAGAGGCTAATAACCCCTCCCACCTGCTCAAAGCAGTCCAAACAAGAATGAAATGCGCATATGAGGGGGAGAGAACCGAGTGTCCCTTAATGGACCTGAAAAAATGGATTTTATGGTGTGTGCAAAATCCTATTTTTCTGCAATGTAATATAACAGGCTGGGGGCATTCTGTACACCCAGTTGGTGTACAGAACTTCCCCCTCGATAAATATATCTTCATATACTTGTGTGATTGGTTCACTAATTTTCCCAGAAGCTTACTTACAAGGTACCCATTTTAGGCTACCTCTGCAGCTCCCAAAGGGTTAATCACTTCTAAAAGAATGAAACTCCTGAAGTAGGTTAAGAGGGATCCTCATGGTCCTTAGCACATTCAGCAGTGGAGCGAGATCTATTGAAGGAACCAATGCTGGACACAGAAAACTTAACACACAATATCCTAATTAATGCAAAAGGCAGTGACCATTTAGAGTAAAAAGGAGATTCTTGGTCCAAAAACCCTTCTAGCCAAAGGGAGATTGACCACAAGAAAGGCTACCTTACCAGGATATTGAGACGAAGAAAAAGTCAAAAAGGGGTTCAAAAGGAGATCTTTATAATCACCAACAACACTAGATTTAAATACAACGGTTGGAGTGGACGCCTAACAGGTGGAGCAAAAAGGGAAGAAGATTGCATTGTTATAACCAACTGAAGAAAAGGATGACACAGCCCACCACAACAACATGTGGGGAACCCCCCAGACACTCCAACCAGTGAAAATATGTCTTTCATGTTTGATGAAAAATCTTGCAGAAAGAGGATTTATGAGCTTGTAACAAGTTTGGGATTAAGGAATTCAATATGCCTCTGTTTCTCAGAGCCTGGGATTCAACAGTAAAGCCATCAGAGCCAACAACCAAAAAGCAGGGATTCCATGACTAGACCAAAGCACCTGACCTAACCATAGTCAGGTTCTATGTCCTGAAAACACACAGCTCCAGCTTCCTGTTGAAACCAGATGCTAGCAAGTCCACATCTGCCTCCGGATGGAAAGGCTTTTCTTCCGAGTTGGATTCATTGCCTATTGAGAAAATATGTCAACCAGCTTTTTACCCTGGATATGTACAGTAATATTCCCTGGCGCCGCCACCCCCAGATTATTAACATAAAAACACAGTAGTAGCATTTTTGAATTGAACCTGACTAGCTGACCAATCAGAAGGAGGGTCCAGTGAAGTAATGACAGGTGAATTCTTTTTGTAAATCTAGGATGTTGACTGAAAGTTTTGATTCTTCCAGAGACCAACAACCCTGAACAGATGGTTCAGAACAGCCCTAATCCAGGAGGTTGGCATCCTTCAGGATAATCTGCCAATGTAAAGGGAGAATAAAGAAAAATAAAAAAAAATATAAAAAATCTTACCTCTATCATTGCCAGGGATTGGTAGGCATCTTGGTTCAAGGATGTAATTGGACCATCTTGACCAGAGACCACCACAACCAGTAACACAACACAGTATGTGTCCCACACTGTAAGTTTGTTCTGTTGAAACTCTCTGGAGAGGTCTGAGAGGTATTCTCGAGGTTCAAAATCCATCCGAGGTCCTCCAAGGTCCACACGGTGTTTGACACAATGGAGTCCAAGGTCTGAGAGGTCTGTTCTCACAGCAGTAGAACGTCCAGGAATTTGATAACCAAATAACTCAGACGAAGAAGACCCAGAACTGACAGCAAGGAACTGTGTGAAAATCGCAGGGTGGAGGGAAAGACCACAAACTGATTGGGGTGGCTGCTCACAGCAATGTAAAACTACGGTATCGCTGATAGCAAAAAAAAAAAAAGTTAAATATATATATATATATATCTTTATTGTAAATGAATGCCAAAAAGTCTACCCAACAAAAGAAAGCAAGAAAGGACTGATCAGATTTATGTGAAAATTGTGAGTATGTACAAAGCTTTGAGAGCCTTTAGGCCCAAGCTGGGTCAAACACTTCCTCTGGTTTTGTAAAACTTTGAAGAGGTTGAAGTACAGACCTTAGAACCTGTCAACCAGGGTGACTTGAAAAAAAAAAAAAAGGAACTCTAGTTGTAACCTTTGATACCAACCAACTCCTTCATATATACAACAGCTATGTGAGGTTCCAAAATCCCCACCAAAACAATAAGGTGCTTCACCACCTCTGAGGAAACCGGCAGGGACAGACCCTCATGCAGTGATGTCACCCAAAGAAGAGCCAAGAAGACTATCACAAACAGAAGCGTAACAAGACCTTCATAACACTGTTGCTTTACCAACCAGCACTTAAGCCAGACCTCCCCGCAGATCTTGAAAAAAGAATTACCCAAGACAAAAAACAGCTGGCATTAAGTATCATATCACAAAAAAAATTCAATGACACAGTCATCTGATCAATACAATCAATGAGTGTCAAAGCCAACAGTGGACAGGCCCCTGCTCAGGGATTTTGAGTCAAAGTTTGGGAAGTAAATGCATAGGAGAACATGAGTTAAAAGGCAGAGCCCACAAGGAGTAGATATATTAAGACTGAACAATTAATTGTAAGTAGGTCCTTAAAGGAAGAAGAATCTCATTGGATAATGATCAAGCTTTATTAAGGCGAGGCACAGGAGGGTAGACTATGGGAGGATTAGATCATTTCAGGACAAAAATCTTTGCAAAGAAAGTGTGCCAAGAACCGCTTGATGCAAAGAATGGTTTGGTCGGGTTGTTTACAATCTGCTGATGAAATAATCAAAAGAGAAAGTGGATACACTTTGACAGAATTTTGGGGTCTAGGACAGGGGTCTCCAAACTTTCTTAACAAAAGATCCAGTTTATTGTCCTTCAGACTTTAGTGGGCCAAACTTTGGGCAGCGGCAGTGGAATTTTTTGTAGCATCAGTGGACTTAAACATCGCCACACATTTGGCATTATGGGGAGGAATAGTGCCCTATTGTTTATGTCAGCGGGAGAAACGGTTGCCCCGTTGTTTAAGTCTGTTGGCAGAATAGGGTCTCATATCATGGAGAAGAATAGTGCCCCAAGGGCCGGATGAAGCAAGCAAATGGCTGCATTTGGCCCCAGGGCCAGTTTGAAGACCACTGGTCTAGGAGAATCAAGCCCAGACACCATGTTAAGGGCAGGAATAGTAAATTGAAAGTGGAATATATGTGAAACAACTGTAGAAATTCAGCTGATGGAATATCACAAATATGAACTTAAGTGCATGATCCTTCATATAGCACAGCGCTATGAAACACTCAAAAAAAAAAAATACTTGACACCTATAAAGTATGTAGGAATAATAAATTCACAATATACCCACAAAATTGTGAACTTCCACCACATTAATCTATCAAATTTTGATCCTCCAAACAAGTTTAACAAAGTGTCCAAAATTAAACAGTGTGCAGATATTAAAAAAAAATACATAAATATAAGGTCTTTTACTGTCCAAATAGCTCTCCTAAAAATTCTTCATGTAATAGTGAGCCCAAGTCACACTTCACAAGTGTCGACCTAAATCACCTGGTGAATCTTTACACAGGATGCCACCCACAAACAAAACTGTTCCCTTCACCATTCCTGTATGTCTTATCTCAAGAAAGGCATGAACAGCTTAAGACCAATACCTCGAGATGAAACCGTTCCCAGCTCCAGAGCAGATGGATGGATGAGTGGCAACCACAAAAACGAAAAAAAAAAAAAGTCACAGGTTAATACTATTTTGTTCAAGCATTTACCAATGACCACATATACTCACAAGAAAAATGAAACTTGAAAGCACATGTACAGAATACAAGCCTAAATAGTGGCATTCCGCAATGTGTAACAGAACTGCAGGCAGGGAGTTAGAGCTGCCACTGAGTGCGACCCATTCAAGAGAATGGAGCTGTGCTGCAACCACCCAGGAATCACAATCCACCTGATTGTTCTGTATTTAGGTGGTAAAACAGGCCGTGAGAAGGCAATAACTCCTCTCATGTCAAATGCCCTAAAGAGCGATCCAAACACAGAGCAAAACAAGTGTAAACAAGCTAGCTAATAAAATAACACTTTCGAGTTTCTGCTCTTTAAAAAGCACATTATTATTTCAAAGTATAAAATGGTTGAGTTAGTGAAATTTACTTTATGCAGTCACAATGTGTTCTCTGTAAATCTTAGTCCATTCTTACCTTTCGAATTCCTCGTGTACGGTTCCACACAAAATCATACCAATCTCTGTAATTGTTCTCCCCATTGTCCATGATATAAGTAACTAGATAATCCATTGTCATGCACAGCACACAGGCAAAGGGCGCAGTTCATGGGGAAGTGGTTCCTCCTGATCAGCTGACGAACGACTATACTCCTTAATGGCAGCAGCATGGTCAATCTAAGAAAAAAAAAAACAAAAAACAATTTTTACACTATATGAGCAGGGGCGGACTGACCATTCGAGAACTCGGGCATTGCCCGGGGGTCAGTAGGGCCATAAGATGCCCCTGGTACCTTTCAAAGGCTTTTTTGGGTGTGGTTTGAGTGTGGGCGAGGACACAGGGGCCCCATGATCCCCTATTGCCCGGGGGCCCCATGAGTTGTCAGTCTGTCCCTGTATATGAGTATATACGTTTATTAGTTTTAGAATAATACAAAGTTCTATTTTCAAACATAGCTTAAACAGGCAAGAGTAGACGTAATGACATTCCTAGTATCCGCTGCCACCACATACAGCCACCCACAGATGCTATAGAACAGGTGGCTGTACATAGTTGAGTGCCAGGGTTTGAGTAAAGCATTCTCATGCACAATGGTGCATGTTCCAAATGCACACTATCTGCATTCAGGTCATATGCCAGTACCTGTGTGGGTGCTTTATACAACCCTTGGCGTACAACTGCATACAGCCACCTCTTCTAAGGCATCTCAACAGACGGCTGCATGTGGCAGTCCTGGAAATGCCATTACACAAGCTCTGCACTGCCTTAGCCATTTATTTCCATTTCAGTTTAATCCAACCTATTTATTTCCACTTCCGTTTAATCCCCCAACCAATCTGATATCTAGACTGCCAAAAAAAAAAAAAAAAATCCTATAAATCCTAAGAGAGTTTTTTTCAGCCAGTTGCACACATGCCCAAATTGGTTATTTTATTGTATACCTTTCCCATTGTAAGAATGAAACTACTGTAATTAAAATATTTGCTGCCAAAGCAAACCTCGCCTCATGTATACTGACACATTCCAGATAGAATACCACAGGAATACTAGAGAAAGCTACAGGCCTTCTAACAAAGTTTCCAAAGACAGAAAAACTCTGCATGAACAGTGACACAAAAGCAATTAAAAGTTTTATTTTATCGAACAAATATTTTATGTAATGGTCCACATCCCTCCCCCACCACCTCAGTACAGTATCACTGACCTTGCTTCCTGTTCCAGCAATTTCCACTGCGTGACCTTGCCCAGCACCAGCCTTTCTAGCAAAAATGTATCCGGAAACCAATCTTTATAGTGCACATGCGCCTCTTGGCCCCATTTGTTCTCATGGGTGGCATTTTCCCAGTTGTCCTATGAAAATACAACTCACTCATAGAAGTGAATGGGTCTGCGTAACGCATGCACACTTTCAAGACAGGCCAGAAGGGATATTTTCACTAGAAAGGTGGTGCAGCAATGGGCAAAGACACACTAAAGATTCCTGGAATGGGAGCAAGGAAAGTGATCAACAGCAAGCTGTACTAAGGGGGGGAGTAGACTATTACTTTCAGTACAAGTTCACTAAAAGAGAATCTGTACTTTAACCATAATTTATAAGTCAATTTTATGGGTAAGGCAGGGATCAACAAATCCCAGGTTGATATGGGGACTAGAAATTGTGCCCTGGCGCCTGGGATTCTGTCAGCCCATTCTAAGTTGCTGACCATGCTATAGCCAAATGACTGATACAGCAAAGGTCAACTAGTTCTGGGAGGGCATTTATCGACGTCCTCCCAGAACCCCGCATGCCTACGCACCCCAGGGGTGAACTATGTGATTACAGATCGAGATAAAAGGCCAATCATAGCTGCCCTTTACCATGTGATCAGCCTATCACAGCTGGAGGAAAGGAGAGCTGGTAACTGGCAACTCTGCAATTTACAATGAAAATCAGGGCACTGACTATCAGTTCAGCCTCTTCAGCGCAGCTCATCAGTGAGAAATTACTCCTTTGCAAAGTTTGCGAACAAAAATCTAAATTTTTTTTTTAAATTAAAATCAGTCTTTTTTGGTTTGTTTAGCAATAAATAACACCAGTGGCGATTAAAAACCACCAAAAGAAAGGCCTGTCTCAAAAAAATGCAAAAATTTAATTTGGGTACATGGTTGCATCAACTGTGCAATTATCATTCAAACAATTGGCTTCTAACCTTTTAGCTGTCTCCTAGATTCAAAGTAAAATTTATCAAGCCCTGGGGTAAAGAACTTTGCTACATATCTGCCTGAAAAAAACAAGAAAGGCTCAGGTTTATATGAAGGCATATTGGTCCAGTTCAGCCATTTGTTCCCAATTAAAAAAAAGACCCCCCCAAAAAAAGTTTTCTGGGGTAAATCCAGTATCAGTCAAGGTGAACGCCACTCAACAATCAGCACAAAATAAATACATTTTTAAAAAACAGTCTGCACCCAATGCTTAGTTCCAGCAAACTGACAGCTCTGCTGCCCACCCACCGCTAATTTAAGGGGCAGGATACCCGTGGCTGACCACCACCCCCTTGTGACATTGTCCACTCAGCATGACCCTTTGTTTATTTAGTGTCTGGTGGGAATCGGAGCTGCCAGTCGGAGTGGGGCAAGCATCAGGTGCATTTTTTTTTTCTCCCCGTTGTAGGTTGGTGGGTAGCATTCATCGTGATAGACACTGGATTTATTTTGGGGGACATTTGTTGCGCTTTTTTTTAAAATAAATTGTCAAAAAACTGGCTCCCCTGAAGGTCCTGGTATGGACTTGGGGGGGGGATGGGTTTGCAGGGGCCATGATTGTTTTTTTTATGCCAGACTTTCTTGTTTTGTCCTTTTTTTCAACATTCTGTTGTCAGCCGAGCCCGATAGCAAAGGAATCAAGGTCGTTAAGGAGGCAGCAGGTGCCGGCTACTTAACAACTAGCTATTCACTGTAAAGTTTTTACTACTAAAATATTGCATCACTTCAAAGATATAGCGCATGTGGTTTTACGAAAGCTTTTTTTATTAAAGTGAATTCCCACAAAATTAAGCTATTTTACCACTGACCTTATAACCGTTGATATCATTAAATTAATTGAGCCCAATATCCTCAAAATATTGTATACGTTTACCAACATAAGACAATCTTATGCTTTGGTGTGAAGACTCAATGTATTTTTTAATGTATGCCTTGTTTGTGCTGAAAAATGCATGACATCCCAATTGGTTTGAACTTGTTTAATCGCAACAATTAACTTCAACTTTTTCCAAAGTGTATGTGAACCCTAAGAATGACTCTCTCCGTTGTTCACTTTTGGACAGCTAAATATATCATTAACCTGCACATATAGTTAACAATTCTAGTTATTAGGAAGCAATAAAAGTCTCCCAAATATCTCTTTCTATCCCTTATACTGAGGTCACATGATTTTACATACCCGCTTTCAGACGCAGTGGAAGATTAGGAGGAGGAGTAACCAAAAATCTGATGATGCATATCTGAATATACAAGTGTGCACACTGCAGCTGAAGCTGTCAAGTTTGGCATCTATTTAATTGGAACACCCTTGTCTTTTATATTTTATGAAAACATGGGTAATATTGTTTTATGACCACTAAAATAATAAAATGAAAAATAGTGGTTGATAAACAACCGTGCTATTATCGTGTGTCATAAAAAAAAAACCGGAACTATCACCATTCTATTTGTCCAGGAACTGTGTTATCCAAAAATATATACAGTTTGGTGGTTTAAACTAATCTTCAGACCTAAAGTATTGGGACACCTCTCCAAATCAGTGGATTCGGATGTTCCAATCACCTCCATGGCCACAGGTGTATAAAATCTAGCACCTAGGCATGCAGACTGCTTCTACAAACATTTGTGTGGGCCAATCTGAGGAGCTCAGTGAATTCAAGTGTGATAGGTTGTCACCTGTGCAGTAAGTCCATCCGTGAAATTTCCTTGCTACTAAATATTCCACGGTCAACTGTTAGCGGTATTATAACAAAGTGGAAGCAACTGGGAACAACAGCAACTCTGCCATGAAGTGGTAGGCCACATAAAATAACAGAGCGGGGTCAGCGCATGCTGAAGCACACAGTGCGCAAAAATTCCCATCTGTCTGCAGTGTCAATAACTAAAGACCTCCAAATTTCGTGGGGCCTTCAGATTAGCATAGCAACAGTGCATAGTTTCATGGAATGGATTTCTATGGTTGAGCAGCTGCATCCAAGCCTTACATCACCAAGTGCAATGCAAAGCGTCAGATGCAGTGGTGTAAAGCAAGCCGCCACTGGACTCTAGAGCAGTGGATACTTGTTCTCTGGAGTGACGAATCACGTTTCTCTGTCTGCCAATCCAATTGATGTGTCTGGGTTTGGCGGTTACCAGGGGAACGGTACTTGCCTGATTGCAATGTGCCAAGTACAAAGTTTGGTGTAGGGGGGGATTATGGTGTGGTGTTGTATATCAGGGGTTGGGCTTGGCCCCTTAAATCCAGTGAAGGGAACTCTTAAGGTGTCAGCATACCAAGACAATTTGGACAATTTCATATACCCAACTTTGTGGGAACAGTTTGGAGGTGGCCCCTTCCTGTTCCAACATGACTGTGCACCAGTGCACAAAGCAACGTCCATAAAGACATGGATGAGAGAGTCTGGGGTGGAGGAACTTGACTGGCCTGCACAGTCCTGACCTCAACCCAACAGAACACCTTTGGGATGAATTACAGCGGAAAATGCGAGCCAGGCCTTCTCCTCCGACATCAGTGCCTGATCTCACAAATGAGCTTCTGGAAGAATGGTCAAATATTCCCATAGACACACTCCTAAACCTTGTGGACAGCTTCCCAGAAGAGTTGAAGCTGTTATAGCTGCAATGAGTGGACCAAATCAACATTGAACCCTACGGACTAAGACTGGGATGCCATTTAAAGTTCATGTGCGTGTAAAGGCAGGCGTCCCAATACTTTTGGCAATAAAGTGTATGTTTTAAAGTGTCTTAACATGTGAAGGCACAGAGCTGTACATTTATAACATCTCTAATGATACCTTGTCAGTTCCTGGAAGAATTTCAAAGATGCTAAGCTGGTTCCGTGTTTCCCTCATGTATCTCTCCTTTTCAGGGCACATATCTGGACAGGTTCCCACAAACACATTTGCTTGGTCAAGCTCTGTCCTCTTCACTCGGGCTACAAAACAAAGAAAAAAAAAAAAAAAAAAGAAAGATGGTTTGCAAATGTTACAGTAAGCACCACTTGGCAAGGCTTGATACAAGCAGACTTTTTTTTTTAATTTTTATTATTTTTTCCCTAATGCATAGTGAGAGCAATAAGCGTAGCAAGCATTTAAAGTTATTTTTTTTGGACAAAAACTGGATCCGTAGTGTCAGCTTCCTGTCAGGCAAGTATAGTCCCAGGTGAGATATTTAGGAAAGGGCTATACCCCAGAGTAGTCTGCTCTGTCCCACAAAACAGACATGCATTTTCATTATTTACCGCAAAGAATAGCTTAAGGAAACATGCAATCATGTATGATATGTAGTGCACACTGCAAAAAAAATAAAAAAACATTTTGAAAAACAAAAAACTCAAAATGCAATGATCCTTTGTTTTCCACCAAAAGAAAATGTATTTTTCATTTCGGTTTTCCCCAAACTATCCCACAACTGACAAACATAATTGTATTATAAATCAACTCTGGAAAGCCTTAAGTGAATTGTTAGGAAAAGTTATGACCCCATATATTCATGGTACCGTAACAACTAAAGTTGAAAAACAAAAATAGGAATTTTGACATCCCCATGAATGTACCTATAAATTCCATATCATGGAGTACAGGAAACAGGAGCGGATTCTTAGATCGTGGGTTATATATCCTGCTACCTTAGGTGGTAACACTGGTAAAAGCGTTGCTGGAAAACATCCCCCCCCAGTGTACCTATATACAGTAACCCCACCCACTCTGTGAGGCTCCATTTTATTTCAGATTAAGAAAAATTCCTATTAAGTTAATCATACAATACAGGACGCAAGAGTTGATTCTTAGATAATGGGATGTGCCCAAGCAATAAATCGAGGAGCAGGCAACACAACAGCAAAATTGCAGAAACAAGTTCATGGGAAGAACAAGGGTCATTGGTCTTAAAACAGCTGAAAGAAGGTGCACCTTGTAGCCGAAGCAGAGATAAGCAGAGGCTCAAATTGTCTCCTGACAAAAAAAAAAAATGGTTTTGCAAATGCAGTTAGGAAAACAGGGAAGAATCCCATGGAAGGACCATCCTGTAAGAAACAGAAGAGGGTGGCCCATAAGGCAACACATAATGCCTTCAGGGTAGAATATATGGAAAGAGAATGACATTCCCACAAAAGGCAATAAAAATAGCCCCAGTGAGGCAAGAAAGACTAGCTTCCAGGTTATTTGTCACCCATGTAGAGTACAAAAAAGAAGAGGGAGTCAAGACAGAACTACAGCTGTTAAGGTTTATGGAAAGAAGATGGTTTTGTTCCTACAGAGGCCATTATAAGGGGTAACCCTTTCAAGCAAAAAGGGAGGGCTCTGCATGAGCAACAGCACCTAAGGAAGGCCCATAGGCAAAGAAAATAAAACCAACTGAAGAAGAGCAACTTCTTGTAAAAAGGACTGTAAAAGGAATATGTGATGCCAAGGTGTTAGAAGAGGAAATACAAGCATTAAAGGATAAGTTCACCTTTCATAACAGGTTACATGTTACACACATATTCAGGGTGTAACATGTTACGAAAAGGACCGATCCCCGCAGCCCCCCCCCCCCCCCTTTGTGACAGCTAACGGGGATCTTCTTCTCCCTGCTAGCTGTCACAATTTTTAAAAAATGTGGCTGTTTGGAGCTCTGCCCTGCCCAGCTGCATCACTCATTCACAGTTTTCTGTGAATGGGAAAACTACCAGACCTGACAGCCTTTGCGGCTGCCGGCTTGTAATAAGTATCTGCTTGCTCCTACGGGATGTACGAGCAAGCAGATACAGTGACAGGTCAGAGGGAAACCTGCATGGAACCGGCGATCTGATGATGGCTAGTGCAATGCTTTAGAGGCTCCAAAACAAAAAAATAATAAATGCACTTTTTGCATTTAGGTGAACTTATCCTTTAACCAAGACCTACCAGGTACCAAGGGCTAGGTGTTTATTCCGAAGAGAAGTTGCTGTATGAAAAATTTCTAGGACGGGGTACCTTACTGTCACATGCTCTCATGCAATAGATTACAGAACATGGGGGAAGCGATGTACATGCCAACCCAATATAGTGGTTGGAACGTGTCAAACTAGTGAATACCAGGAGAGATAGAGATTCTTGGCGATCTGTGGGCGAGAGTCTGTAGAACAGTCGCATAACTGAAAATGTCTGGGGAGACCGATAGACAAGTGACAAACATGCAGGTGAAACAAGCACACAAGGGGTGTACTGAGGTACAGGGCCACTGCAACTTTTCCCAGTACTAGGTTGACAAAAAAGTTGATCAGTGACAAGATCTGTTCTTTTGAGGAAGCCAGAGCAGAAGGGAAAGCTCCCAAGAAAGATGCAGTTTCAACCGTAAAGGAAGTGAGAGTATCAGTGCTTGGCCTATGATCAGAGATTTGAAGGCACAGGATTTGATTACGTGTCCAATGTTATAGCACCACAAGGTATGGTGAGTAAAGCAACATAAAAGCTATATTAAACTGTGGATAGATGAGAAGTAAAACTCTTCACATTGCAGTGGCTATAAAGGGCATGCACAAAAGTCAACTTTCACAAGGGCATTCTGATAACCAGGACTTAAAGCTATAGGTTTCTGCACAAATGCACAGAATGTAGAGACATTCTGGAGACCTGATGGATCACATTCTCCATAACGTCCAAACAGAAGTGCAGTGCTGAGAGTAAGAGCAGTAATCCAGCTGCAGGATACAGATCATCAAAATTAGAGAAAGTTCACAATTGATTTTTCCTATCCAATTTGCCATGGTCTGGGCAACTGCCAAGATGCATAGGCATAATAGGTCTTCTAAAGTGTTTCCAGTTGCCTATTAACTGAATCCCTAAAGAAGGAAAAACCATCAGAGGAAATAGATTGATCATTGCAAGAATGGCTGGGTCCACCACAGTGGAAACAGTCCACCTCCCCCTAAACTCCCGTTCCATGGGGGTAAGAGGAATCAAAATTATCAGAAGGGAACAACCTCTCTAAGTTGGGCCTACCATTATATAAGGGCCACTCAGCTTGATCAAGAATAGGGAAAAGCTTTCTAGGAATTGCCTTTTTTCATGTTCACAAGAACAAGTGAGGGAAGAGCTGCACTAGGTGTATGTATCCAAAGACTAGAGTGTGCTGCTTCAACCAATTAGCACTCAGTAGTTAGCATGTGTTGAGAAGCTAAATAAGTAACTTTATGAAATTCCTGCAGTGAAAAATAATACGCAACCTCCACTATAAAGTCAGCATTCCCCTTACTTTCTGCAAATGGAAGTGAACTAGGCAGTTCAAACTGTATATGAAGGTAATTAGGGATGGAAAGGCAGAAGAACATTTACCAGTGTCAGTAACCACCAATTGCCTTTGACAAATATATCAGACAGTGGCAGAGAATTCTGCTGCTTTAGGCAGACAGGCCATATGATACACAATTGTTGAAATGGTAGTAAACACCACTTGGTCACTTATCTACAAGTAAGCTAATAATGCTTACCTGAGGGTACAATGAATAACTCCTAAAACAGGCACACAATTTCTGCAGCTGGAAACGTTGCCAGAACATGCGCACTGCACTCTGAATTAAGGGCACACTGAATATGCCATCTATCCAGAGTGCTGTGCACAATTGTGACTCCAGTGGGCATGCACGGGAGTGACATCATCGTGGCTCAGCCATTCAAAAGGTGAAGATGAAAGCCCTGCGAGCAGTGACAGCGCACAGCATCTTCTACAGAAAAATACAACGGAAACAGGGTTATCTATTGGCAATGTCTTCACATCCACACAAACTGGTAAATCCTATGATATAGGCTTGTTTATCTCTTGTGCCACAACCCATGTAGTTTATTTGCTGCAGTGTCCATGTGGTTTGCAATATGTGGGTGTATACCACATGGGCACTGCAGGTTTATTTAAATGAGCATATTGCCAATATTAGGAATGGTTATAAAAGCCAGTGTTTCAAAGCATTACGCTTTGCGACATAACAAATATCCAACAGGCACCATGTTTGTTGCCATTCAGTATATGTCCCCAACTGAAGGGGACGTAATGCTAGGAGAAATATTTCTAGAGCTGAAACTAAGTGGATATACCACCTAAAAACTTTTGTTTTTTTAGATCACATAGTTTGTATTAAACACTTTTATTTTCCATACATAAAAAATAGAAAAAGGCATACTTTTCATTATATAAATACTTGCCCTTATCCCCCCCCCCCACATACAAAAAAAGAACCCCCACTATTTCAGACACTCTTGGCAATATACAACACAATTTCTTCATCCAATATTCCCAGGTCCCAGCTGTGGTCAGTGTGTCCCCTTGTCCAGTCAACAACAGAAAGCACAGGCCCCCATACAGATTACCTAACAGGTCCCCTCTCCTCCACGCAGTGTAACTATTTGTGCGAGCAATGTGTGGCTCGAGTATGTAATGCCAGTGCAGAGCAGTACGTACAGAAAGTGCAGTGAGCAGTATGCATTAAGAAATGGCAGTGCAGAGGGGTGTGGAGTGTAGCAGTCAGAGTACAGGCCTGAAGCAAAACAGATGAAGGGAATAACTGCAGGAGAAAGCTTCTGCCCGTCAGCCAGTTACTACATGGCTGGAGGTGAAGACTCCTCAGGCTTCCATTTTTGCTCATCTTCCCAGTCCTGTTCCATTTTCAGCCAAAGTGGCCACTTGTGAATAGGGGAGAGGTCATCCACGCCCCCATCCAACATCTCCAACAGCCCAGGGAGAAGTTGTAAAGCTAAGAGTCCGCACACAAGCTGCCAGCCATAGGAGGCTCCATGCTGGACAAAGAAAGCTGCACTGCAGTGTACCCAGGGGAGAGCCAGAGGCAGGTCATGTCAGCCCCCTGGTAAACTGATGTAGATCAGTCCGGTAGGGGCGGACTGATTGTAGCCTCCTATGGGCAGCCCTGGATGCAGAATTGGGGGTGCTTGCACAACAAAGCACCAACTGGCACCATTCCTTCAAAGAGGTACAGACAAATGTACAATGGTTTCACACAACTGCACTCCTCCTACCAGCATTATTTCATGGGAATGGAAACTATCACCTGGAAAACTCTAATACAATTGACAGATCTTTTCTACAGAGATTTAACAGTGGAGGGTGTCTGCTGCAGGGGAAGCTGCCACAAAACCCCACATATTTGTCCTAAATGGTCTGGATATTTCATGCCTCTATCCTTATCCATGAATATTGCAAATTAGCTGTATACAAGGAGGGACTAGAGACTTTGTCTGAACGTGAAGATACTGTAAGTTATTAGAATGAACAGCACTTAAAATACGGTAATTATTTTACCTGCCAAATTATTGGTATATTTGAGCAAAACAAAGCACGCACTGTATTTCTAAAGTGTTTACTTGCCTCTGTCCAGAGCATGACATGTCATTTCTTTTTGTTGTCTAGTTCCTCTAATATCAATATGAGTCATTTCTGACAAGTTTTCACCACAAGGAAAAAAAAAAAAGTCCAGCTGACTGACAGCCTCAGCTCTGTTTTTGTGTGCTGTGTGAAGGGGGGGTGCCCCTCCCCTCCAGTTATCTCTCAGGGCTCTTGTACAGTGTGTAACTGCAAACACTGCAGCTGTATAGACTTAAAAGGCTTGCCAAAATTTGACATGCGGGCAGGAGCATGTGCACGGATCTGACCACAAAATGTCTGCGTTCGAATCTGTATACCCCACATTGCCTGCCTGTTAAATTTTGACATGCACCCGTGTTCGTGCAGCCGCTGCATATGCATCCACATATATGGGATGCCTGCACACAGCTCTGAGATGGATCCACATGCAGCAGGCAGTGGCTCAGCATGCAGGATGGGACTCAGAACCCATCTGAATGAGCCCTAAATCTAAAAAACTACAATGAGTTAATATCTGTAAAATTGTTCCTTTTTGCAAAATGGCGAAAATCGGTACACAAAACTATAAAAAAAAACCTGGAGTTTGGCTTTCACCTTTGCATTGTGCTAACAACCTATTGCAGTGTCATGTGTATGCTGCATTGATGAATGGTGAATAAAATGATGCAGGCATACATTTTATTGCAATGCAGTGTGTAACAATGAGCAGCAACACACATTTGTATTGTATTTTAAGCCTCATTCAAATGATAACAAAGGGCCATGCAGCATGAAGGAGCATATTCATGTGCCCAGGATTCAAAGGTGTTTGCCTACACATGTGAGCAGCCACCTGTACAAATGAGCCTTGGTTCACATATATGCAATTTCGGATGCCTTTTGAACCGCACCGATTCACATGATATGTTAATGAAAAGGCTTTTCTGTTGAGCCCGTTTACACATGTGCGTGTTAAAAAAAACCTGTGCGATTTTCAGTTCAGTTCAGGTGCGATTACCAGTCTCACACACTTTAACAAATCGCACCTGAACCACTGACTGAAATTGCGCCAGATCACACTTTAAAAAAAAAAAAAAAAAAAAAAAAAATCACACTGCAAACCAGCCCGCATATATGTGAACCCAGTCTCAATACATAAATATAGGGATTTCTGAGCAGCCAAGTTTACAACTATCATTCAGCTTTTGATTTGTACAGGCTGCTGCATGTTGCTGTACACAAGCATCTGTGGCTCCTGGCCACAGAAGTGCGAATGGGATCTTGGATCTCATTTACACAGGCACCGTGGCCTGTAGAGCGAGATGAGCAGTTTGTTTATGTGAATGCATCCACCTCAAGATGCATGCAGAAAGCCTGTTTACTCTATAGTGACACAGTGGCTGAACAAACACAGCCATAGGTATTAATTTAACCGGGTGCAGGTGCGCAGCCCCGAACACAGACCGCATGTATTCTTCGGGGTCACACATCTACACTTGCGCACCTGTCAAATTAGGGCCTGTAGCTGTGTTCATACTGCTGTGGTACAATCATAAGGTGACAGACTGCCTGCATGCAGCTCCAATAACAAACTGTCCATCATGTTGCACAGGCCAGAGCATGTGTATTAATGAGCCCTTAAATTTTCTTAAAATTTTTATTATTTTTTACAATTTCATTTTTAAATGTTTTTTTAATTGCATTATTTTTATTTATTTTTAACAGCCCTGTTGGGGGCAGGGCATTGATGAAATATCAAGGGACCCCTATTGTTACAATTTTGAGAAAGGGAAAGGGACTGAGAACACAGATTGCTCAATCCCTGTCTCTATACCTAATGAAGGAATGAATAAACAGGAAACAGTCTGCACAGAGGCTTCCTGTTAAATCAAAAACTGGAAGCACAGTACACCTATGCTGAATGAACAGTGCCAGCACTTTACTTACAAGAAGTTGTGACAGTATAAATGAGTCTAGGTGGGCCACAAACTACCTATTACTGTTAGTAAAAAAAAAAATTATACATATACACACACATACATACAGTGGGGATCGAAAGTTTGGGCACCCCAGCTAAAAATTTGTATTAATGTGCATAAAGAAGCCAAGGAAAGATGGAAAACTCTCCAAAAGGCATCAAATTACAGATTAGACATTCTTATAATATGTCAACAAAAGTTAGATTTTATTTCCATCATTTACACTTTCAAAATAACAGAAAACAAAAAAATGGCGTCTGCAAAAGTTTGGGCACCCTGCAGAGTTAATATCTTGTACTGCCCCCTTTGGCAAGTATCACAGCTTGTAAACGCTTTTTGTAGCCAGCCAAGAGTCTTTCAATTCTTGTTTGAGGTATCTTTGCCCATTCTTCCTTACAAAAGTCTTCCAGTTCTTTGAGATTTCTGGGCTGTCTGTCACGCACTGCTCTTTTAAGGTCTATCCATAGATTTTCAATTATGTTGAGGTCAGGAGATTGTGAAGGCCATGGCAAAACCTTCAGTTTACGCCTCTTGATGTAATCCCCCGTGGATTTCGAGATGTGTTTAGGATCATTATCCATTTGTAGAAGCCATCCTCTCTTTAACTTCAGCTTTTTCACTGATGGCATCAAGTTACCATCCAAAATTTGCTGACGTTTTATTGAATCCATTTTTCCTTCTACTCGTGAGATGTTCCCTGTGCCACTGGCTGCAACACAACCCCAAAGCATGATTGATCCAACCCCATGCTTAACAGTTGGACAGAGGTTCTTTTCATTAAATTCTGTGCCCCTTCTTCTCCAAACGTACCTTTGCTCATTCCGGACAAAAAGTTCAATTTTAACCTCATCGGTCCACAGAACTTGTTTCCAAAATGCATCAGGCTTGTCTATGTGTTCATTTGCAAAGCTCAAACGATGATTTTTGTGGTGAGGACGTAGAAGAGGTTTTCTTCTGATGACTCTTCCATGAAGACCATATTTGTACAAGTATCTCTTTATAGTGGAATAGTGTACCACAACTCCAGTGTCTGCCAGATCTTTCTGGAGGGATCGTGCAGTCAAACGTGGGTTTTGAATTGTTTTTCTCACAATCCTGCGAGCTGTTCTGTCTGATATTTTTCTTGGTCTTCCAGATCTTGCTTTAACTTCCACTGTTCCTGATGACTGCCATTTCTTAATTACATTCCGAACAGAGGATATTGACATCTGAAAACGCTTTGCTATCTTCTTATAGCCTTCTCCAGCTTTGTGAGCGTCAACTATTTTCAGTTTCAGTTTTCTAGACAACTGCTTAGAAGAACCCATGGTGCTGATTGTTGGGGCAAGGTCAGATGAGTCTGGGCATTTAAAACCTTTGAATGCCACAAAAAAGCCAGTTACAATAAGTTCGAACAGCAACTTCACAGGCATCACAGAGCCAGTGAGAGATAGAGATATAGACAGAGAGAGAGAGAACGCACACACACGGAGACAGACACAGTCATGGTTTGATGCCCACCCTGCCTCCTTGGGCCAATGTAACCCCTGGGCCTTCTGCTCATCCCCTGGTTTGCTACTGTGCAGTGCCACCCTGCAATGCCTTTTATAGTTTTTAGTCAGTAGTATTTATTTTGGTGTGCAATACATTGTTTGAACACAAGATGCTGAGATGTGAAACCCCCTTCCCACCTTCATGAGCAACACAACATTTAATCAATATACCTTTGCTTTCTGCCATATGCGCAGTAGCAATGTCTTTTGTTGGCTATATTAGTATTACTGTATTCAGTACCATGGGATGGGGGGATGTGGGGGGGATTATTCTATGTGGCTGTATTATACAATTAATAAGTGCCCCTTTATTACAGCATTTTTAACATACAATGTTTAATAAATTAAATGTGCTTTTGTCTATACTTTGGTCTTTGTTCATTCCTGATGACCTTTGCACCCTAAAAGTCCCATATTTTTTCTATTTTCATGAAACCTGATCCTTTGTGACAAACCAGTCTGTCCAGAGACCAGATCAACTTCTCCTGTGACAGCTAATGGCACATTAAGAGCCCAGCTAGAGCTCATGCCAACTGTTCCCTCAAAAGACAGTCATGCAAGTATTGAACAATGAGTAAACCATGACAGTGCAAACACTATAGATGTAAACACTATACTTCAATAGACTCTTCAGAAAAAGTTAAACTGGGTGATGGTGGGGAGGGTTGCAGAACTGTCCACTGCTCAATTTGCAGAGAAGAAATTAGGTCTCTGTCCTTGGCTATGAGTAGAACTGCTGAGACAGATTGCCTTGATAGATAGGAGAGTAATTCCATTTGCTGCCTTCTTTAAATAAGGGCAATAATTGCCACCTGTTTTTCAAAGAATGAATGACCTCATTAATAGAACTACACAGTGCTATTATTTTGAACATGCCCCTTTCAATTAGTGATTAAATTACACAGAATCAGCAGCATGCATGTCATGACTGTTGGGTCTGTTGGATTATTTTGAACACAAAATATATATATATATATATATATATATATATATATATATATATATATAAAATTAATATAAAAAATCTATTCCTAATCTGTTCTTGTATGGGCAACCTAAGAAGATCTGTACTTACCTTGTCGCAAGATTCTGTCCCTCTGGTCCAACAGGCGATACCTTTCTTCAGGAGTTTCTGCCACATGTCCCACAAGATTCAAAAGTGAAGGAGGCAGAGATGGAACCGCAGAGTCAGAAGATGTTGTTGGGGCATCTGTATTATCAACATCATATTGAAGAGTCTGCACTAAGTGAGAGTTCTTTTGAGGAGATCTATGAAAATTAAAACACAAAAAAGGTCAAAGCAACACAATATACTCATTGTGCAGGTACGAAAACTAAACTTTGCATGCACTCACCCTTTAACTGTACGGAGTAGAGGCTTGCGTACAGGGGAAACAAGCACATTGCTACCTTGCTCACTCTGCTTTTCTTTTCTTTCCACCTGCTGAATTTGTTTCTTAGGGAGTGGTGTTTCTCTCTTGCCTGGACCTAAAAAAAAAAATTTTTTTTTTCAACTTTATGTTGCAGCCTGATTCTACAGTTTAAATTCCTTTTTCCCCCCATTAATCTACACTCAGTACCCAATAAAGACAAAGTGAAGACAGAATTTTAGAAATGTCTGAATTAAAAATTAAAAAAAAAAAAAAAGTTGGCAGTAATTACAGCCTGAAGTCTTTTTGGGTGTGAAGCAACAAATTTTGCACACCTGGACTGGGGGATTTTCTGTCATTCTTTGAAAATCTGCTCAAGCTCAGTCAGGTTAGATGGGGACTGTCTGTGGACAGTCCTTTTCAGGTCTATCCAGAGATGTTCAATAAGGTGCTTATCAGGGCTCTGGCTGGGCCACTCTAGGACATTCACAGAGTTGTCCCTAAGCCACCCCAATGCTGTCTTGGCTGTGTGCTTCGGATCGTTCAGCTTTCCCCAAACCCTGACCAGTTGCCCAGCTGCAGAAAAACACCCCCAAAGCACACTGCTGCCACCACCATGCCTACTGCTGGGATGGTACTGGGTAGGTGATGAGTGGTGCCTGGTTTCCTTCAGAAATAACATTTAGAATTGAGGCCAAACAATTCAATCTTTGTTTCATTAGACTAGAAAATCTTGTTACTCAGTCCGAGAGCCCTTCACGTGCTTTTATGCAAACTCCAAGCGCGCCACTCTGCCATAAAGTCCAGATCAGCGGAGGGCTGCAGGAATGGTTGTCGTCCACACATCTTCACACGACGACTCTGGAGCTCAGTCCCAGTCACCTCTCTTATTAAGGCCATTCTTCCCCAATTGTTCAGTTTGATAGGGCAACCAGCTCTTGGAAAAGTCAAAGTTGTGCCAAACTTCTTCCACTTGAGAATTATGGAGGCCACTGTGCTCCTGGGAACCTTTAATGCAGCAGAATTTGGTGCCTTCCCCAGATCTGCGCCTTGCAGTAATCCTGTCTCTGAGCTCTGCAGGTAGTTCCTTCATGGCTTTTGCTCTGATACAGTATGCATTGTCAGCTGTAAGGCCTTTTAACTGCTTCCCGTCCGCCCTATAGCATATATACTGCTACAGGGCAGCATGGGTGCGCAAAATCATGTGTATATGTGATTTTGCATTTCCAGGTAGGGGGCCGTCGCACCCTAACCGTGCTGCCATTTGCGGCTGCGGGTGTCAATCACCGGGTCCTAGCCGGTGATTATTCGCCAGCACCCAGTGATTGCCGAGGATCTCCAATGGGGGGGGGGGGGGGTTGCAACTGTTAGCAAACAACATTACTAGTAAAAATTAAAAACAAAATTCTAGTATATATACTGCCATTTGTAAACGCTATAACTTTCACGTAAACCAATTAATTTACAAGTATAAGGATTTTTTTTTTAGCAATGACATGTAGCAGAATAGATTTTGGCCTACATTTATGATGAAATTTGATTTTTAAATTTTTTTTACTGGACATGTTTAATAGAAAAAAACTCAAAAATATTGTTTTTGTTCTCAAAATTGTCGGTCTTTTTTTGTTATAGCGCAAAAAAACAAAAAATGCACAGGAGCTTAAATACCACCGAAAGAAAGCTCAATTCAAGTGGAAAAAAAAAGGACATAAATTTCATTTAGGTGCAGCGTTGCATGACCATGGAATTGTCAAAGTAAAGCAACACCGTCACGCAAAAAATTGCCTGGTCAGGAAGGGGGGGGGGGGGGGGGGGTTAAATCCTCTGGTGGTTAAAGAGAGGCGTGCCTTTCTAAATCATGTCCAATCAATCCAATTTACCACAGGTGGACTCCAATCAAGGTATAGAAACATCTCAGCAATGGTTAAGAGAAAAGGGAAGCACATGAGCTAAATTTCAATTGTTGATGCAAAGGGTCTGAAAACATACGCCAATGTGATATTCCAGTTTTTCCTTCTTCATACATTTGCAAACATTTCTAAAATTCTGTTATCACTGTGTCAATATGGGGTACTGAGTGTAGATTAATGAGGGAAAAAAATTTAAGCAATTGCATATACATATATATATATATATATATATATACATATATATATATATATATATATATATATATATATATATATATATATATATATATATATATATATATATATATATATTTACACATACATACACACAAAACACTGTATATCTTCAGGTAAAAAAAAATAATTTTTCTAAACCTTTCTAAATGCAAACTGCACTCTTAAAAATTCATAAAATGTAGTAAAACACAAGTATTAAGCCGCTACTTTCCACTGTGAAAAATTATAATAAACAAATCATATTCTGTAATAACAAAATACATGTGCTGCGCTCAGTAAATAATAAAGTGATAAACAAAAAGTCCATGAATAAAAGTCCTTTTGCAATCACCATGTGAGTTGAATTGCTCAAATAAAATCACCACGTGAGTGTAAACAAATCTCCAAAAGTGCTGTGCTCCCCCTTCAGGTGTGCACTCACCAAATTTATTTGCATCCCACTCTCATGGTTGGCAAAAACGCTTTGGTTTAAATATATATTCTTCCAGAAAAAGATGTTCTTTCATGTATCGATTCTTTCTCAGAATGGTTCCAACACTCCAGACTTATTGCCTCGGATAATGACTCTCCATATCACAAAAAGAAAAGAAATAGAGACACGACATGGTGCAGTACCATTTAAAACCATTTAATCTCTGCCCAGAGAAACTCACAAGAAAATAATATAAAACAAGCCCAAAGATATATATCCTCATGTGATGGTAATGTCAGAGAGGGAAGACCACACAACGCTCTCACCACTGCCGGTCCTCGCTCTCGGACAGTCCTGTGTCACTTCCGGTTCCAAAGTACAGCACTTCCGGTTCTCGCTCTGCCCATCTAACGCGTTTCATCACTTCCAGACTTATTCATAGGGACTCCCATTATATAGAATTTAAACCAAAGCGTTTTTGCCAACTAAGAGTGGGAGGCAAATAAATTTGGTGAGTGCACACCTGAAGGGGGAGCACAGCACTTTTGGAGATTTGTTTACAGTCACGTGGTGATTTTATTTTGAGCAATTCAACTCGCATGGTGATTGCAAAGGACTTTTATTCATGGACTTTTTGTTTATGATTATCACTTTATTATATACAGAGCGCTGCACATATATTTTGTTATTACAGAATATGATTTGTTTATTATAATAACACACACTCACAATGAACTGCAACTAATATAAAGTTTCACTCACTGGATTTCTTTCGATACCAAAACACAGAGACATCTTTGTGGAACTTCTTTCCTGCTTTCTTGGCATTTGCTGCTGCTTTCTGTACAAAGAGAGACATAAAAAATATTTTATTTTTAATTTAAAACATAAATAGTATCTTCCATAGAACACTGTAAAGGAAGATATACACAGCTGTGTTCACAATAAAAGCAGTCCAACATCACCACCATTTTTGTTATTAATTATTTTTCTACATGGCAAATAATTTACTAGTAGGCTTAGTAGAGTAATAGAAAACCAAAAGACCCAACAATCATGACATGCATGCTGCTGATTCTGTGTAGTTGAATCATTAATTCAAAGGGGCATGTTCAAAATAGTAGCAGTGTGGAGTTCTATTAGAAAGGTCAATCATTCTGTGAAAAAACAGGTGTCAAACAGGTGGCCTTTATATAAGAATGAAGGCAGCAAATGTACATGCTGGGTATAGTGCATTTCTCTAAAAATCTGGGTAAAATGGGTCATTCCAGACATTGTTCAGAAGAACAGCATACTTTGATTAAAAGATTGAATGGAGAGGGGAAAACATATAAAGAAGTGCAGATACTGAGGCTGCTCAGCTAAAACGATCTCAAATGCTTTAAAATGCCAATCAAAACCAGGACGACATGGAAGAAATTGGAAAACTACCATTCGAATGAATTGAAAAATAACCAAAACGGCAAAGACTCAGCCAATGATCACCTCCAGTTGTCAATCGATCATATTGATACTGAAGATGAAGGTCACTTCCCAGTTCTTAGTGGTATCAATTAACGGATGTAGCGAATTGCCGATCCCCGGATCTTTGCAACCTGTTTAGGGTCTATGCTTTGCATGGAACCAGACCAGTTTTACACCACCTTCTTACTGGTCTACAAACACTCGATATTTACCTAGTGACTTTACATTTTGTATACTTTGTACACACTGTATACCTTCTGTCTTTTTTAGGTTGTATGTAGACTACTTTGTGTTCAGAGACCTTTGCTCTTATTGTTTTTACAGTTTTATTGGATGCCTTATTTAGATAAACAAAAAATTTAAAAAAAAAAAAAAAAAAAAAAATAGGAGGTTGCACTGGATAGATACCAAACATGTCAAAACCTTAATATTTGTGTGCACCCACAAAATGGTGACAAACTTCAGTATCCTATATTCTATATGCAAAGCTTTAAAAGCCCCCATATAGGTCATCAACTTAGAGTTAAGGAAGCTTGGTGCTAGAAATATTGCTTTCACACCGGTGTACACAGCAATATGTAACATGTATCAACTTCAACTTTTTTCCATCACATAAAGGGACAAAGTCCTCTGTGATTTTTTTTTGGTGACAGGTTCTCTTTAATGAGACAGTGTGCTCTAATGAATGTATTGCAGTGCAGATCATATTGCATTACAACTATTTCCCGGCCAACCTGGCTGCAAACACTGACAGGACGACTTGAATGTGACATCATACACATCGCTTCCGGGTCAGCAACAAGAAGAGGAGGGAGAGCGGACATGTGTCCCTCGCCCATACCCTGCGGCACCCATTGACAGTCCCAGGCATGCAGATGAGCAAGCAGAGCCACAATGGGAACCACAATCTGCCGTTGCTGGAGGGGTCAGACTGCTTTTATCTGACAGGCTTAGTTTGCTTTATCAGATACACACACTCCCCGGTTCCTTCAGCCGCTGGGAGTGTAAGTAAACCCCCCCCCAGCATTACAGTGCACGGTCAATCAAAAGCTTGATGGACACAATGGGGAACTAGTCCCTTCATTCCCCATGAGGAACTGCCCACCCAAAAGAAGCTACAACTGAATTATCCATCAGGTACTCCTCCCCTTTGACTTGTTTCTTAAATATTGGCATCGCTATATTTGGGTATTGACATCACCAGTATGCGTGGCCCCTTTGCTTACATTCAGCTTTCAACCGTACAGTTGGAATGGATCGTAATAAAGCAGTGTGGGTCATGAGGTCAAATTCATGAAGGCTTCTCAGAGAGCCATTGCATCAACGGTCCTGAGCAACGGCACAGCAACGTTTTTTGTTTGTTTTTTTAAAAGGCAATGGCAATTCCACCCAAGACACCATGTAGGGTAAACATTCTAACATAAAATTATTAGTTTCCTATTAACAAGGGCTAAATTTGAAGGCTTTGTTAGAGGTTACTAAATGTGTGCTTTCTTTGGTCTTTTAATACAGCCTAAAGACTCCCTTTTTTCTGCCTGAAAGGGTTTGCTGAACTTAAAACGAGCAGCCTCCTGTGTATAAATGCGCTTGCCTGTTGGAGCGAGCATATGAGAAACTTATTTCAAGTAAGTCATATAGAGAGGTTTTGATCATGCTCAGCAAAACAGCTAAGTGTAGCCCAATGCATGCAGAATTTGGACAGCCTCTTAAATGGCTGTTTGCAAGAGCATAAAGATGTCATGCAAAGAGAACATAGAAACCCATGGAGGTCTCTCAAACAAATGTTTCTGGAAATAAATCTTTTGGACAGTGAGGCAATTCATAGAAATTCGGATTTATAGACTGTATAATACATCAGTAAGCATTTAACAATATAAATAGAGTGCATTTTGGTCAAAACTTACATGCTGGGCAAAGTGAATAATTGCTGTTGCATTTCCAGGCTTGCAATACATCTGCTGAATTTTACCAAACTTCTTAAAGAATGCCTCCAAAGTCGGTTTTGTAATTAGATGTGGAGGGAGATTCTTTAACTGAATGCAGGTTTGTTCATTCGGAGACAGTGGTCCAAAGCTATCAGTGCTGTCATTTCGCTTAGTCCTGCGAAGTGGCGTCTTGGAGAAGGAAACTAAACAGAACATTGCAAACATCATCAAATGTTTACAGCTATTTCCACCAAAACATGCTTGGAGGACAAAAGTTTTAAAAAATATCCACATACTAATAAATTATACACTTGTCAGGTCATTTAGTGCAGGCCTCAATTGATATTTTAATTAAGATAATTATTTCTTTCCAGTGTCACCCACATCACACATTCTGCTGACATCATGTATAAATTTCTAGTCAAATCAAGGATAGGAGAGTTTCTTCTCTGATAAACACAGTCTAGGTCAGAGACTTAAAATATAGAAGCTAGTGGGCAATAATTGCACTTACACTTATTGTCTTGGAAAATAATTTTAGCACTATAGATGAAAAAAAATGTTTTAGGTTTTATTTTTCTCTTTTTTATATACAGACATAGAAAGGAAAGGACTCTATACAGTTGTGCTCAAAAGTTTGCATACCCTGGCAGAAATTGTGAAATTTTGGCATTGATATTGAAAATGTGACTGATCATGCCAAAAACACTCTTTTATTGAACGATGATGATCATATGAAGCCATTTATTATCAAATAGTTGTTTGGCTCCTTTTTAAATCATAATAGAAATCACACAAATGGCCATGATAAAAAGTTTCCATCCCCTGGAATGTTTGGCCTTGGTACAGACACACAGGGTGACACACACGGGTTAAAATGCCAATTAGAGGTTAATGTCTCACATCTGTGGCTTTTTAAAGTGAAATTAGTGTCAGTGTATAAATAGTCAATGAGTTTGTTAGCTCTTACATGTAAGCACTGACTAGGCTAGATACTGAGCCATGGGGATCAGAAAAGAACTGTCAAAAGTCCTGCGTAACAAGGTAATGGAACTTTATAAAGATGGAGAGAGAGAGAAAAAACACACACACAGACAGACACAGAAAAGAGAGAGAGTGGATTATTTACTGCACATACACTGAGTTTTTTGAGGCATCACTACTTCTATCACAGGTCGAATTCTGGCAGGTAATAGTGGACTAGGTCCAGCCACAGAACCATCTCTGCTAGGGCTTTGGAAGCTTGATCCAACAACTGTAACAGTCCTGTTTGGTGTTCCCTGACTTGCAGGGGGATGGGGCTTGATCGGTGGGGGGCTGAATGGGTACAGCTGGTAATTGGGGCTTAGCCAATCCATGCTGGCTAGATTCAGATGCTGGATGATTTCTTGCAGCTGTCTGACTTGATGCAGATGTATCCGAATCTGGCAACTTAGAATCTGTATCCTTTCTTTTGGAGTCCTTTTGTTGGGATTTTATTTGACTTTTAAAAGCATCAAACAAGCTTTTATACAAAATATTAGCACCTCCTTTTAGATCTCTATTTAATCGGGTAGACCTCTTTACTGAAGGGTCTTCACGTTGCAGATCAGGAGTATCATCTGAAGAGGCATACTCCGGTTTGCTAGTAGAGTGGCCAGAGTCTTCCTTTCGCTTCAACCCTTTATGTTTCTCCTCTCTTTCAACCTCTTCATTAAAACTGGTGAAACTACTATCAGCACTTGCAAATGCAGGCTTAAAAGGCCCAGTTTCATCTTTGAGTTTACTTTCTGCAGAGAAAGAGAATAAGCTGCTACTCTGCCTTTCCCCTGATGCAGCTGCTGCAGAAAGATTCCCAAATAAAGGCTTTTCCGATGCATCCTGAGTTTTATTAGCTCCTGGAAAGATTGGTTTGAAAGCTGTATTGGATGAGGATATACTAGACATCTGTCCAAAGGGGGAGGAAGTTATGCTAGTTGACACTTTGGATTCTGGAACATTAGGATTGTTAGTCATTTGAGTAGCTCCACCAAAGGCTAGACCAATACTTTTATTCTGATCAGAAGGAGTGCTTGACGGTGGACCAAAGACTGACATTTTTTCACCTGTTTCTCCAAATGCATTATTTCTACCAGTTTGTGTGCTGGATACAGTCCCAAATTTAGAAGATTGCACAGATGATGTCTGGGAAGAGGTGGGCTGCCCAAATGTAGGCGTTTGGCTGAACAAGTTACTTTGCTCAGTAGTGGTCTGTCCAAAAGCAACATTTTGACTTGATCCATCTGGTCTTGACTGGGTGGATGAGTGATCCAAACTTTGCCCAGATGTGTTCTGTCCAAACATAGGAGTCTGGCCAGAAGCTGGCTGACTAAAAGCAAAGGTAGTGCCAGACACTGGCTGACCAAATACTGAACCTTGACTTAATTCCCCCTGAGACTGTCTACTCAACTGTTCAAACACAGATGATCCTGAAGCTGCCTGTCCAAATACTGACGTACTACTTCCAAAGGGTGTAGATGACTGACTAGAAACAGTCTGTGCAAATGGAGCAGTTGTCTGGTTAGCATTGGACTGAGCAAACAAAGTGGACTGGTTATTAGCTTGCTGAAAAAGTGGATTAGACTGGCTAGTTGTTGCTTGTGCAAAGGGGGATGCTGACTGGCTACCAGCACCCTGTCCAAACAGAGGTGTTTGGTTAGAACTTGAATGTCCAAATGCAGGACCTGAGTGCCCAAATGCAGAAGAAGGTTGGCTGGTGGTTGTTTGTCCAAAGAGGGAGGCCGATTGTCCAGTAATTCCTTGTCCAAATGCTGGAGCTGTCTGTCCAAATTTAGGTGCTGACTGTGCAGAATTAGATTGCCCAAACATAGGTGTGGACTGTCCGGAAGCAACCTGTCCAAATACAGATCCAGACTGGCCTGAAGCTGCCTGCCCAAATACAGGCCCAGACTGTCCTGAACGGACCTGACCAAATACAGATCCAGGCTGTCCAGAAGTGGCCTGCCCAAATACAGATCCAGACTGTCCAGGCGTAGCTTGTCCAAATACAGATCCTTGCTGTCCAGAGTTGGCCTGTCCAAATACAGGTGCAGATGATACCTGCCCAAATATGGAACCAGGCTGCTCTGGCGTAGCCTGCCCAAAAACAGAGCTAGATGTTCCAGATGTGGCCTGCCCAAATATAGGACCAGACTGTCCAAATGCAGGAGCTGACTGTGCTGTGGACGCCTGACCAAACATAGGAGCAGAAAAACCACTGTTAGTCTGGCCAAATGATGGAATAGGCTGTGCCACAGTAGTCTGTCCAAACACAGGGGGCTGGCTAGGAGTGCTTTGACCAAACACAGGGGCAGTCTGACTTGTAGTACTGAGTTGACCAAACACAGAGGAAGACTGTCCAAATGAAGGGCCGGAGAGTCCACCAGCACTCTGGCCAAATACAGATGTTTGTCCAAACAATGCAGGACTTTGACTGGCATTACTGGTGTTTGGAGGTCCTCCAAATGGATTATTAGAATTCATGTCTGAAGCAGGAGTATTCCAGGTCTATATACAGATGTTAGAAACCTTTAAAAGAAAAGTAAATAGAACAAGATTAAAGTTAAGAACAAAAACTAGCAATAAAACATAACTAAGAATTTATACTATAAGCTATCTTGCTAGGAATATTAAAATAGCCACAAAGAATACCCTGCAAAGCATCAAACCTGCATAAACAAGTAAAAAAATAAAATTTAAAAAAGTAAGATTTTTATAAACAAAAAAATACTCACACTGGAGGGAATTTAAACTTTGTAGTAGCTTCCTACCTGTGAAGGAAATACAGTTTTACAAATTCAATCAGCTCTGCAGGACTTTTCGTATTGCAAAAAATTCATAAACCGAAACGCCGTTTCCCATAGGACTGCATTGAAAACCAATTAATCCGTTCGAGGTCAAAAAAAAGTAAACACTACTAAAATACAGCATGAGTTATTTTATCAAGTCATGCAGTATTTTAGTAGTGACAACCATGTGTTAATGTTTCAGCTGTCAGCAGGGTTCCCCACTGACAGCTGAATGTAAAAGAATTGCCAGCAATTAAAAAAATAATTAATTGATGTCACATGGGGCAGGGTCACATGCGTGATGTCCCCGGGTCCTTCCGCCCCTTACATATTTAAGAACTGTCAAACCACCAGAGCAGGCAGACGGCTGGAAGCCATTGTCTGGACTTGGTATGGATGGGAGGGGGGACCCCATGCTGGTTTTTTTTTTTCTATTATGGTGCGGGTTTTAAAATGTAATTACCGCTTTTTTTCTTCACTATAGCTCAGAAATTCAGCTGTCACTTTCCACCCAGCTAAAAGAAAGAGATCTCTTTTAGTTTATTTCCTGGAGTTAAAAGAAACAATGTTTCCTTTTAATCTCTTAAAAGAAACAGTTTCCGTTAACTATAATGAAAAAAAAAAAAAAAAAAAGACGGAAATTGCATTTAAAAATCGGCACCGACATACGCTTCATATTGCGAAAAAAATTCATAAAAAAATTGTAAACCGAGGCATTATTTTCAATGGATTTTCATTCATAAACCAAAAATTACGTTAACCGAGGCGTTTGTAATCCAAGGTATTACAGTAGCTTTGTATCACCAGACTCATCACATACTCATTCAGAATGGGAGTGAATAGTTCATTAATAAGCAGCTGAAGTGTTCTCTGAATGGTGGTGAACAGAGTGCTGAACTCCTATGTTCACAATGCAATAGGCTGGCTGCCCAGCATGTAGAAAGAAAAAAGGGGAAAAGTGCCTCTAAGTGTGAGAGCTGGAAACGTATTTATTGCACATAAAAGGAAGCAACTTACAGGAAGGTAGACAAAATTAAGCACATCAATATTCCATCTAATGGGAGTCCGCAACGGTGAATAGCATAGTTTGCAGTAATGAATGATTATCAGTCATCTGTCAGTATTAGGCGAGCCAGCAAGATGGAGAGAGCCTGATACCGAGGTGTGGAGTGCACAGTGGAGCGCAGCATGTGCACGATGACATCACCGGGCATCGAAGTTTCCTGAGGATTCACTGTGACATTACCATGCTAGCGCACTCCTTTGTCAAGCTGACAGGATACGAGGAGATTGTGTCTATATATTGTGTGTTATCAGTTACTGATGGTTACAATTTTAAAGAGCCCAAGGCCAATTTTAACTGGGTAACGTGTATATGCACAGATAATATAAACAAATAAAAAATTAAAATAAAACCGTTGTGATATAAATACATATACTTAGACTGATAATGACAGATATTGTACATACTGGCAAGGTATAATTTTAAGATGCTGAATAAGACATAAATAATGAATAATTATGAGATAATACCTCTATAGGTAAAATAACCATTGGATAAAAAAATTATGATTTGTTGAACAACCAATACTCACTTCACAAAAAATTATTAGGATCATAGCAGCAATCAATAACAGTCTAGAAACAAATGGGGGCCCAGTGGTAAACAGGTGATAACCACTGGGCACCCACTATATGATTGATATATAGTAAAGGGTAGAAATTAATCAAAAATATATAGTGGAAAAAACGAATATAAAAAAATGAATGGTACTTTCTTGCGAGCGAGATGAAAGATTATGTTGTTACATATAATAATCACTGATATATGAAGTAAAAGACACTAGGGAACAAAAACCCCGGGTGTGTACCAGCCTGCCCCCCACCAACTTAGGAGCATCCACAAAATGTTTCAATGCAGGCCTAAAAGTGAAAAACAAGGGGAAAAAGCAAGGAGACAAACGACTAAAACTGCTATGGGCTATAATAAAAAAAAAAAAAAAAAAAAGTAGAAATAAAAATAATTACATAATGGTGGCAATTTCTAATTCTTCATTTAACCCTTCAGGGGCTAGGGTGTCTAGAGTATATATCCAGAAAGTCTCTCTAGCACATAGTTTTTGGAACCTTTCTGCCTCTGGAAGTGATTTAGGGATCTGTTCTATCACCCAAAAACGTAGCCCAGTGGTAGATTTTTGATTTTAGTTGGCAAAGTGGCGTGGGACACTATGCTTATCTTCAAGAAGGCTATTCTCTGTTCTCCAAATCTTTTCCTTAACGGACTTATCGTGCGTCCAACAGAGTTTTTCACATGGACAAGAGAGGCAACAATAGATCACATAATCAGAGGAACAGTTGAAAAAATGTATCAAATTTGTACATTTTGCCTTTGGCGGTGTACTGCTTTTGTCCATGTGTGATAAAACTACAGGTCTTGCATATAGGCTTTCAACAATGGTACATCCCAATGAGCGAAAAAAAATACAGGTGGGTATGGTATGACTGGAATTAGTTGGTAATCTGCTGGGAGCCATTTTGTTTTTTTACGCTGGGGGCCTTTTTGTAAATGACTTCTGGTCTTTGAGGAATAATTTTAAGATGTGGATCCTCTGAGGATATTCCAATGTTTAGCTAGAATTTTCTGCATACTTTTATACTGACTGTGATGTGGTAATAAACTTAGTAGAATGATCTATTACTTTAGTATGATTCTTTACCAGTTTTCCTCTAAGATACAAATTATAGGCTTGTTCAACAGATGGATAACCTTTATCTCTAAATTTATTTTTGAGTATTAGATTTTGTGTAGTGTAGTCATCTCGGGTACAGTTTTGCCGTAATCCGCAAAATTGTCCTTTAGGGATATTCTTAGTTCAATTAGGTAGATGGCAACTTTCAAAATGAAGATAAGAGTTGCCTGCAGTAGGCTTAAAATCGTTCTTAGCCTGTATTTTACCTTCATGATGACTTAGTTCCAGATCAAAGAAGTGTAATGCATGGGAATTACACTCAAATGTGAATGAGACTATAGGAGTTATTGTTGCAATGTGCAACAAAATTCTCTAAGGATGATGGGGAGCGATCCCAAATTAAAATTATGTTGTCAATATATCTTCAAATGAAGACAATATTGGCAGCAAAGGGGTTGTTATGCCAAATATGACTTTCCTCTCGTCTAGTACCTGGAAGCAAGTGTAGATCACTGAAGTAGCAGAGTCGACTTCAGTAATATCCAGCCTCCAAGGTGATCAGCCAGGTATGATATATGCATAGTTACATTGGTCCAAGCTGCACCAATGCAACCATTTAAAAATATACCATGCCTGGATTTCTTCTTTAACACATTTCCCTTCTCCCAGTTATGTTTTTGGCTACACACTGCTGCTATCCTCAGCCTCGCACTACTGAAAATCGATGTGCACTACCCCAGCTACTTCACTATTACAACCTCACACATTCCTCACATTCCTACTGTCTTCGATCAGCCTTTTTCTAAACTTTAAAGCTGGACTCCAGGATTTGTGTTACTTTAAACTGTTCGTTTGGGCCAACTTGGCCCAAATGAACCATTTCCTTCACCAAGAAATGCAGCTATTATCAGAGCATCAGCATGCCGATGCATGTAGCATCAGCTACATACAGTATATAGTGCTGAGTACAGTACAGAGACTTTCTGTCTGCTGCTGGAACAATATCAAGTTGGGCTGAGAGCTTCTCAGCCATTCACAGGAAGCCTTGTATTTTTATCAATGAATTCAAGGCTTCACCTGAAAGCCATGACATCTTCCAGCCACCTCTCTACCTTGGACAATCAAAGGAAGCCTTGTGTTCACTGAAGAAAAAAAAAAAACACCATAATCTCCTGGCCTAAAATTATTTTGTTAACGTGAGCAAAAAAAAAAAAAAAAGCAAAACCGGCTCTGGGGCAGTGAAAGAGTTTAAATATTAAAGGCACTTTTTAACAAAAAACAAAACGCCATGCTTACCTGCTCTGTGCAATGGTTTTGCACAGTGCATCCCTCCCCAAGGGAGGCATGCCGAGAGGTCCAAGAGAGAGTACGGAATAGTGACCGTTAGTTTTAGCTGTTAGTAAGTCACTTTTTAGTTTTAGGAAAGCAGTAATAAGCAATCTGGAGGATGACTTTCCACCTTTGCATTGTACTCCTGCCCAACTGCAGGGCCACGTGTGTCCTGCATTTGTGTGTGTTGTAGTAAAATGAGGCAGGCATACATTTTAATGTAGTGCAGCACAATGCATGACAACGTGCTGCCACACACAGCACAGAATAAATGTAATAAAAAGCACTGGAATGAACTAACAATTTAACGTGTATTGTAACACACATGTGTATGCTGAGTGTGTGTGTGCGCGCGCGCGCGTGGAGATGGTGGTCCCTCACACAGAGGCAGAAGTAGCGTATTTCTATGCCCAGGTGCAGAGTGGGCTGTGTCCATGTCAGACAGCATAAGTGGAGCAAACACGGACCTGTCGACTGTCCGCTTTGCTCAGAGGGATATCAGTGGACAGATCCACCGCTGAGCAAAGCAGAGTCAGCCCTGTGTGAAAGGGGCTTTAACCCTCTCACTGCCAGGTCCATGCAGCGTACAGACCCACATTACTCTTCTGCTACAAGCTCATGGCCTCAATGACCTTGAACTTAAAGCAGAAATGTTCAGTAGGCTCTGAACAAAAGG